TCTCTACTTTTAAGATTTTTTTTTTTTCGTCAAAGTGCTTACTCATAGAGGGTCATAAGATTGTTGGGTTTTTCTCTGTATGTATTATTGTAGGGTCTACCTGTCACGGTTCTGGGTCAGTTTTGACCCAGTATTTTGAGATTTCATGTTTTGGTTTGATTTTGTATTTTTGGTTATTTTCTTGATCTATTGTATGATGATGATTATGATGATGATGATGATTATTTAGTATGTTCCAGGTTATTCTGGTTTAGGTTTAGTTCTGCCCGTGTAAATCCGTGTTTCTCAGTCTGCATCCTTGTGTTGTTTCCTGTTTTATTTTGAAGGATTGTGTCTTATGTCAGTGTGTCCAGCTTCGCTCCCCCTGTCTCGTTAGCCCCTATCTCTCCCAGCTGTGTCTCCCTCCTGTTTTCCATTCCCTGATTACTTCCCTGTGTATATTAGCCCTGTGTTTGCCCTTGCTCAGTGTCACGTCATACCCTCAGATTATGCCTGTGTGTTTTTGTTCTCAGTATTCACTTCATGTTTTGTTTTCGTGCCAGCACTAAAGCTGAGGTTTTGAGTTGCATTCTGTTTTCCGAGTCCTGCATTTGGATCCTCATCGCCGCCTGCCCGTACACAGAGCCCTGACACTACCTTACAATAGAAAGAGCCCTGAGGCAACTGTTGTCGTGATTTGGGGCTCTACAAATGAAATTGAATTGAACTGAATTGGACTGACTGGAATAGTAATAATTAAGAATTTTTTAAAAAGTGTTCATCACCCAACATTGTCTCGCACCTTTATTATTCGTACTTGGCCAACATGTGGCAGCATATAATAAAACCTATGGTGATATTTTTAATCTAAGTACCTTAATTTAGTCAGGCAACTTTGCCTAACGTTAGTGGCTCCATAATATAGATATTTTTCTGTTTGCCTGAGAAGTGAAAGATCCCTGGTTTGATTCTGGTTAGCTGCACAAATTACTAACATATGAAGCTGTCTGTTGTTATGAGCTCTTGTGAAAAAGGGAACAGCTGAAAGTATTTTTTCTTCTTTTTATAATGTTTTGACTTCCAGTGTACTTTAAGTATACATAAAACTATGTTTTTGTCTTGTTTTAACCTATAATATTTGAAAACTTTAATCCCTTTGATTTATTTTAAACAACAACAAAAACCCACTTTCTTCGAGGCAGGTTGTTACCTGTCTGCCAGCCACTCCCATCTACGCTGTACAAACACCTCCTCTTCCTGCCTTTCTCAGTTCTGCTTTTCCCTGCACTCACTTTACTCATGTTGGATTTACATTTCTATTTTATGTATAGATGCAGTTTCAATTGTGCAGTCTGAGCCACACAGTTCCAGTTTGTTTTTAACCGTATCTGTTTGTGGACTTTGCTCTTTGCTGGATTTCTTTCTTCCCGCCTGTTTCCTGTTTGTGTCTCACTGCTTCCCTCACATCTCCCTCAGCAGCCTTTTCCAGCATTACTTTCAACAAAAGGTGAGCAGTTTGAACTTTTAATCTGAATTTAATATCAGTGTCTCTGATTATATATGCATTAATGGATAAGTTTGTCACAATATCTAATCTTTAAAGCAGTACTGTCTGGTTAAATATTACATTTTATCTTACAGTTTCATTTCTTGGTCATGGATGATTTCGTAAGAACCAAACTGGTTGAATGGGGGCTAAGTGAGTGGGTGGAGAAATTTAAAGGTAAAGTATTAACGTGAATCTGTGATGGGTACAGATATTGATCCTGATGTGATCTGTAAACTGTAAAACAGCTCATAGATCTGTGCCCAAAGCTTTTTCATTTATTTAACCAGTATTCCTGAAACAAGTTGAGAATAATCTTGATCTCTGCAACTTCATTTTTAATTACAGATCAAGAAATTGATGCAGGAATTATTTGTGAGCTTGATGATCGAGAAATTGAGAATTTGATCACAAAAGCTGGACCAAGAATGAGATTCAAGAAGAACCTCAAGCTGTTAAAGGTAATTACATTTTTTTTAAAAAAACAATCATTGTTATTTTAGTGTACAGCGGTGAATTTTTGTTAGAATTATCTGGATATTGAAAAATGTGCTGGCAGTAATATTATGCAGTGTAATTTTTGTTAAATGTTTACTAATATGGATTTACAATGTTTTGATTATACAGGAAGAACAAAACACAAATCAAGAAACAGTCAATTCTTTTCAAGTAAGTTACAAACTATTTTGTTGCCTTGAGATTTAGTATCTATACGAGAAAGAAAAACATTTAGTACATGTTTAAGTGCTCATTATATTAGGCTTTGCACTTTTTATCTGCAGCATGAAAAGGAGCATGAAGAAGCAGCTGATGTGATTAAGCTAAGGATTATACTGAACTTCAGACATATGAGCCAACTGCTTGAGACAAAGTAAAGCTCCATTCTCTGTTTTATAGAGACTGACCACTCTCTACAGAAGCCAATAAATGACTGAATCTAAAGACATGAACGGGTTAGCAGTGTGCCCGGCCTTCTGTTTAATACTATGCTTCCTCCTCATCATCACCCAGTCATCTTGTTTCTCCGACTGCTCGGGACAATCTGCCAGAGGGAGCTAACGGGGCCTACGCTACCTTTACCTGCACAGGCTAAAGAGGCCTGGCTAGCTATGGGATTTTTAAGGGTGTGAAGCAGAGTCTACAATTCTGTGATCCTGGCCTCCAGAGCTGCAAATAGTCTACATTTATTGCAAGTATCATTATTGCTGAAGGAGGCTGAGGAGTAACTAAACACAAAAGTAACAAAAGTAATCTGACACAATGAGCAGGAAAGTGCAGGAGGGACAGGTGAAAAGGCCATGCTGCTAATGAGTTGGCTATGGCCAAGCTAAGCTAGTGAACCCCTGAAGACATAGTGAGTGAATACTGTGAGTGAATACACATAGAGTGTGTGAAGATTACACCTTGAAATAAGTTATAAGTTTTTAATTAAATTGGCTACGCAGATAAGTTACATAAAAACACCACTGTGTGTTGGAACAAGAAGTGATAGTTTATCGCAGAGAGCGAACACCAGCGACCCACTGGTGTTTGACAGCATCTCACTGGCAGTAATTATTTGTAGAGTAATTCTATTAATTCTTAACTAATATAATTTGAGTTGTTTTGATTGTGGCAGGAAGAACAAAACTCAAATCAGGAAACAGTCATTTCTTTTCAAGTCAGTTTAAAACATTTTTTTCCTTCAGATTTAATGTCCATACAACAAATACAATTTTAATACATGTTTAAGAGCTCAATATTAAACACGGCCTTGCACCTTTTATCTGCAGTGTGAACAGGAGCATGAAGAAGCAGCTGATGTGGTTCAGGTAAGGGTTATACTGAATTTCAGACATATGAGCCAACTGCCTGAGACAAAGTAAAGCTCCATTGGGACTGGGACTTAATTATGTAAAACAACTGTCTCGTAGGATCACTGATATTTAGTAAGAAGAAGGTCATTGTAATTTATTTTTCATCAGTCTGCTGGTTAATAAAAAATAACTGCATTTAAGTTTGTTGATTGTAAAACTTGTATGTTAGTGTCCTTTAAATGCTGTTAAAGAACAATGCCAATGCAAATAGTAATAATTTCCTGTATAACTCATATTCATCCTCAGGTCTTGCCATCCACAAGTGATACAGGTGAGACACATGCATCGTATTTATTGCATCTCATATTATTCTGTGTTTTAAAGGCACCAATATTTTTTGCAATCTACATAACTTTACTAAGAATAACTTTCAGTGCTGAGAGAAACCTGTTTTTTTGTTCTTATTTTTTGTTGTTTTTATCCAATCAGGAAAGAGAAAATCAGACCTTCAAAGTGACACCATCAGGTTGCAGTCACCTGCTAAGCGACAACGTCTGTCTGTGCCAGGATTTGAAGGTATTTACATTTCTTACTAAACAGTGTCACAGTTTAAGGGTTAAACCTCTGTGCAGCACAATTTGTCCAACATCTTTGATGCTAGAAATTACTTTTTCTTTGGGCTTTTGTCAAAATTTAACAGTCACATGATGCATGGTATATTAGGGTTGATTGGTAAGTGGTCACATTATGGTCCTGATATACTCTAATTCACACAGGTTTGTTTTGTTTGTTTTTTTAACATGAGATTTTACATTTTCTGGTTATTCTAGTCTATAATTCCCTCTAAATAGTTCTTTACTTTTATGCCAACAGAACCAGTCATACTGTCCGATGTGAAAAGCATCATGACATTTGTACATGCCAGACTAAATAAGCAAGACAAACTCAGTGATTTCTTAAAGTGAGTATTAAGTTTTTTTTTCCTATTTTGTAATGTATGTAACAACTGTAAAAGTCAAATGCACTCTGTTTGTCCTAAAAGAACACAACCAACATCTTTCATGTGGCTATTCAATTCAGTTCAATTTTATTTATATAGCGCCAAATCACAACAGCAGTCGCCTCAAGGCACTTTATATCATTATTTATTAGATCAAAACAACATACAGTAAACAATTAGTGGAACAAGTGTATAAAACTGAAATATATAGTGATAATTGATTGGAAAATCACTACCATGATTATAACTCTCTTTTAAACTCTCTTTTTTAAATCAATTAACCATATTTAAAATCTTGTTCAACAGGAAAAAGATCAGTGATTTGGAGATAGACAAGAGGGAGCTGGTTGGTGTCTTTGGTAAAACCGGGGCTGGAAAGAGCTCTTTGATAAATGCCATCATCAAAGAGAAGAATCTTTTACCTTCAGGAAGTGTCAGTGCCTGCACCTCAGTCATGATCAAAGTGGAAGCTAACAGAGGTAGCTTAAAGTATGAGGCAGAAATTGAGTTCATCGCAAAGGAGGTAAAATGAGTTCTCAAAGTTTGATTTGTTTTTGAAGCTAAATCATGTGTTACACTGCAGTTCCTGGGGTTTAAGGCTGGGTACATACCTCAATAAATGGCATGTCATCTATTTTTGTAGGAGTGGAAAGAAGAGTTGTGGTCATTTCGTCAGTTTCTTGACAATAATAAAAATCAGAAAAAGGAAGATGATGATGATTATCGTGATGCTGTTGAAAAGCTGTCAGCACTGTATGGCAAAGAATGGGAAAAGTCCTTTGAAAACCTCATGGACCGCAAATATTTCAAAGAAATTCCAGAATTTCTCCAATCCAGGCGGAAGATTTTGACATGTGAATCAGTAAGACAAAAACTCTCATATTACTACTATAACAGACAGCCATGATAGTCTACACACTGAGGATGCTGGGAAATGCACACAGGTGAAACTAGGACAACCTGGACACAAAAGGGAACTGACCAAATTAACAAAAGAGTTATGGAAACATAACTCACTTCTGAAAACAGAATGCAGCATAGATTCAAAAGTCTAAAAAACACAAAACACTGAAAGCAGATCCAGTGATCCCAACGAAACAGATCTTACTGAGATCCCATAATCACATTTAGATGATCACATATCCAGAAAAAAAATCTGTTCTTGTAATAACTGTGATTAACAGAACCCAAGACTGGTCCAGGTCTATTATGTAGAGCAGTGTTTCCCAACCACTCTGAGAAATGATCAGGTGTGCTGTGGAAGACAACTACCTGCTCTAATTAAATGGGTTACCAATTATTAGTAAAAATGAAGAAGAAGAAATTACACAATAGTCATGCTGTGAG